TGATCGGGGCGGATCGTGAAGGTGTACGACTACATCAACCGCATTGCTAAATGCTTCCGCTTAGTGATCTTCAAGGGTATGAAGATACACTCCCCTTCTCGTTGATATGCATCACATAGATAGATCTTGCGTGATCGTAGGAATTTTTTTGAAATTACCGCGTTCCCCAACACTTACCATGGTAAAGTTAAGGCGATGGGCTTTAAGATCGGCGAGTTTGTAGACTCTGAGCCATCTTCTTTTGATTTCGAAGGGAACTTTTACAGGGTGAGGGTCAGGCTTGATGTGCGACACCCTCTGAAAAAAGCAATATCTCTGATCCGCGGTGGCGAGAGGGAAATTTTTGCTGTCAAGTATGAGCGCTTACCAGATTGGTGCCATGTTTGTGAGATGATGGGGCATGAGTTTAAAGAGCATGGGGATGGTGTCCATCCTCCCTCTGCTTTAGTCTTCAAAAACCTTCGTGCGCCGGCGACAACTGCTTGGGGTACTCTGCGCCGGAACAAAAACCAGAGAGCTAAGAACCAGGAGTGCAATATGCCTATTAACACTGAACCAAGTGGAACGATCACACATGTTTAGGAAAGGATGGATATGGTGGTGAACGATGTCAATCGTAAAATATCTTCTGATCAAGTGGTTGGTTCACTGAAACCTAAGGCTACCACGGGCATGGAACTTGTTGCTGCCGCTAAATCCATTGGAGGTACTGTCCCACTTAGTCCTCCTCCAAAACAAGATCCTAAGAGGTCTATATTAACGGGATAGAATGAGAAGGCAGGCAATGGTGGTGCTAGGAAGACCCCTCCAGGAGGGAAGAACTCGGACGCGAGATCGGCGGCCTCCATGGAGGTAGACCGCCGGACGCAATGAATCTTCTATGCTAGAATTGTCGGGGGATTGGCAACGCACCGACATTTCAAGAGCTACACGAACTCGCGAATAAGTTTGCCTCTAGAGTACTTTGTATAGTTGAGACCCAGATTAGTGGGGAGAGAGCAGAAAATTTAAAAAGTACTCTAGGATATGATAGTTCTTTTGCTATTGATGCCTCCGGTCGGAGTGGAGGTTTAGCACTTATCTGGAATAATGAAATAAATATTGAGGTTTTGGGCTACTCAAAGTATCATATTGACGGCAAAATCACTGGTGCAAAGGACTAACCGTGGAGGCTTTCATGCTTCTATGGGGAAGCGCAGACCCATCTCCGTCATCATACTTGGGATACAATGAAGAACCTTTCAACACTCCATGATCTGCATTGGGTGTGTGTAGGGGACTTCAACGAAGTGCTGAAACATGACGAACATGATGGTATTGTCTCTAGGAGTCAGTCACAAATGCAAGGGTTTAGAGATGTTGTTGATGTGTGCGGTTTGGTTGATCTTGGTTTCAAAGGGACACGATGGACCTGCGAAAAGAAAGTTACGGGCGGTTCTTTTACCCATGTAAGACTGGACAGGGCTCTGGGCTCGGTGACCTGGTGTGGTCTCTTCCCGGCAGCGGCTGTAGAGCACCTAACTGCGGCGACATCTGATCACTCGCCCATACTCCTTAGATTAGCACAACCAAGGGCGGGAGGGGCGAGAGCTAAACAATTTCGTTACGAGGTGATGTGGGATACACACCCCAATCTGAAACCAACTGTTCAAGCGGGGTGGGAGCAAAATAGCCACAATCCATCGGTCAGTGAAGTACGCACCAATCTCGAGGCGCTAGCCAATAACTTGGGTGAGTGGTCCAGGACCACGTTTGGAAGTGTCCGAGGAGAGATTCGAACTTGAAAAAAGGAGCTGGAATGCTTGCGGAGCGACAGCCTGTGGACGGGACCTTCTCATGCGGAGGTAAAGATTAACGATTGCTTAATTGAGCTATACTTGAGAGAAGAGCTGATGTGGAGGCAACGTTCTAGAGTTGAGTGGCTCTCGGCCGGGGACCGTAACTCTCATTTCTTCCACATGAGGGCCTCGATGCGCCGGAGAAAAAACTTGATCAAGGCGTTGCAATGGCCAGATGGGCAAGTAATGGATGATCCTACAGAAATGCAACAAATGGCCCTTGAGTTTTACAACAACTTTATACTTCTGAAGGAGTACAGGGGGTAGCAGATCTACTTCATCATGTGCCAATGAAAGTCACGCCGACAATGAACGATACCTTGCTGGCCCCGTATGAAGCGAAGGAAGTTAAGACTACGCTCTTTCAGATGTTTCCTACCAAAGCTCCAGGGCCTGATGGTTTTCCAGCCCACTTTTTTCAGAGACATTGGGATATCTGTGGTGACACGGTGACTAAGGCAGTTTTAGCTATTGTGAAGGGAGAGGAGAGCCCTGCATCCTTGAATGATACTATGTTGGTGCTAATTCCAAAGGTATCAAACCCAACGTTACTATCTCAATTCTGCCCAATAAGTTTATGTAATGTGTTTTACAAGATTGCTTCGAAGGTGCTTGCAAATTGCCTTAAGCTCATCCTCCCGAATATAGTATCAGAGGAGCAATTGGCCTTTGTACCAGGGAGACTGATAACTGATAACATAATATCAACATACGAGTGCTTGCATTTTATGAAGAGAAACAAATCTAAGAATAATAGCTATGCGGCATTAAAGTTAGATATGATGAAGGCATATGACCGTGTGGAGTGGTCTTATTTGAGATCAATCATGGAAAGGTTGGGCTTTGCAGCACCATGGGTTTCAATTGTGATGAATATGGTGAGCTCAGTATCTTTTCCTGTTATGTTCAATGGTGTGAAGTCAGAACAATTTAAACCCACAAGAGGTATTCGACAAGGAGACCTGATTTCTCCATATCTTTTCTTGATAGCAGCGGAGGGCCTTTCGTTCCTTTTAAAATCCCAGAATCAATCATCCCAGCTCAGCGGCATTAAGGTGGCATCGTCGGCCCCGGCGGTGAACCACCTTTTATTCACGGATGATAGCCTGCTGTTCTTCAGGGCAAGTATTGATGGAGCAGAAAAGGTGGCAAACCTATTGGATACTTATTGTAGGGCGTCTGGACAAACGATAAACAAAGAAAAATCTTCAATTTTCTTTAGCAAGGGTTGTCCCAAGATAGTACGCAACGCTGTTAAGGGCCACTTGCAAGTTCCTAATGAATCTTTGAGTGACAGGTACTTGGGCATGCCTACTGATGTGGGCCACTCAAAGAAGAGGACTTTCAAATATTTGAGTGACAGGGTCTGGGATAAGGTGAAGGGCTGGATGAGCAAATGCCTATTAGCAGGTGGGAAAGATGTCCTTATTAAATCTGTGGCCCAAGCTATCCCTGTGTACTCTATGTCATGTTTTAAGCTCCCGAGAGGTTTGTGTGATCACATAAAATCCATCATTAGGAAGTTTTGGTGGGGGTGCAAACAAGGAGAGCGCAAACCAGCTTGGGTATCTTGGGACATGATGACTAGGCCGAAGCACCTGGGAGGGCTCGGCTTTAGAGACATCGAGCTGTTTAATCTTGCTTTGTTGGCGCGACAAGCATGGAAGCTACTTCAGGAACCAACAAGTTTGAGTGCCAGAATTCTCAAAGCTGCTTACTACCCTGACAAGATGATACTCAGTGCCGAGCTGGGATCTAGACCGTCCCAAATATGGCGCGCTATCCTGGAGGGGCAAGATCTAGCCAAGCAAGGGATTATTCGCAGGATTGGCAATGAAAAAACAATGGACATTTGGGCTGATAATTGGATACCAAAGGAGATGACGCCGCGCCCCATTACTTCGTTAGTGGCGAACCCTCCTAGGTATGTGCGGGAGCTGCTATCCCCAGTCACAACTTCTTGGAACGAGGCACTAGTCCGAACAGTTTTCCTGCCAATTGAAGCTGAAGCCATTTTATGGATCCCGGTCTACACGCGTAACATTGATGACTTCTGGGCTTGGCACCCGGATAAAAAGGGCAGATTCAGCGTGAGCTCGGCTTACAAATTTTTGCTTAAAACAAAACTGCAGAGGGAGGAGTGGCTCTAGGGAAGAGGTGGATCATCTAATGCTAAGCGGGATGAGGAATCATGGTGTTCCTTATGGAAGGTCAAGATCCCGTCGAAGGTAAGAATGTTCCTCTGGAGACTTGCCCATCATTTACTACCAACATCGGATATCTTGAAGAGAAGGAATATGGCAGTACAAGATGCTTGTCCATTATGCGGATGTCAGGACTCATGGCGACACGCTCTAGTTACATGCACTATGTCATACTGTGTATGGGCTTTGGCAGATGAAGCAATGGTTTCCCAAATGGCTGATAATCTGGAAGCTAACGCAAGGATCTGGCTGTTTGAGCTGAATGAGGTGATGGACCAGGCTAGTTTCACAAGGATGGTGATTACATTATGTTCTATTTGGTATGCCAGATGAAAGGCTATGTATGAATCAATCTTTCAAAGTCCACAACAGACATCATGCTTTGTCAACAACTTCATCGACGAGCTCGGTTACGGAAACACTTCGAGGGAACATCAGACAACACGCACGGTTGCGTCTGCATCTCGGGAGAAGTGGTTGCCACCCCTTAGTGGCTCTGTGAGGATTAATGTAGATGGTGCAGTGATGAGATCCCGTCTTGGAGGAGCCGTCGCGGCAGTATGCAGAGACCAGGGAGGTTTTTACCTGGGTTCATCAGCGCTTGTCTTTCAAGACATTATTGACCCACTGGCTTTGAAAACTTATGCTTGCCGCGAAGCTCTGGCTCTAGCTGAAGACCTTGCGGTTTAGAATATTTGTGTGGCGTCGGACTGTCAAGAAGTGGTGAATGATATTAATCGGGGACTGGATGCCCAAATGCTGCGTTGGTACATGAAATATCGAGTCATTGTAATAGTTTTATTTCTTGTTCTTTTATTCACAAGCGTAGGAACCATAATTATGAGGCTCACAATCTTGCCAAGTTTGCTAGTACGCTAGACTGAGGTAGACATGTTTGGTTGGGAAATCCTTATGACCCAAACCTTGTACCTATGTCAATTGTCTTGAATGAATAAATATGGCCAGATTTCTCAAAAAAAAAAACCTATTTGGCGGTCGCCGCCAACGAGTTTCGATTCTCGCGGCGGCGGCGACTCGTGACGAGCCGACTTGCCGGGGGCGATCCGGCGAGGTGAGGTGAGGCGACGTCGCCGTCAGGCATCCATCCGACCCCCGCTCTCTCCACCCTCTCCTCGCATCGTTTGATCCTTCCTTTGCTTCGCAGCGCCAACCACGCCCGCCACCTACTCGACAGAATGCCTCCTAGCAGGAAGAAGCGCAAGAGTGCGCCGCCGGTGACCGCCACCGACCACATCAGCGCCCTCCCCGACCATATGCTCCACCATTTGCTCTCCTTCCTCCCAGTGCAGGCTGCCGTGTGCACGTGCGTGCTCGGCCGGCGCTGGCGCCACCTCTGGAGGTCCACCACAGGCCTGCGCATCGTCCGCCTTGACGACGATGATGTCTTTGAAGTCAAAGACCTCCGGAAGTTCATGGACCATCTGATAGCCCTGCGTGAGCGCACCCAGCTGGACACTGTTGAGATCAAATTCGATCAATTCGACAGTGATGATGTGCCCTATGTGAACCTATGGACCCGTTTTGCCGTGATGTGGAAAGTTCAGGCGCTCACCCTTCATATCCTCGAGGATGGTTACCTCCACCTAGACAACCTGCACCTTGTCTCTCAGCATCTGGTAACATTGGACCTTCATTCTGTAGCCCTACAAAAGGCCTTTCTTGATTTTGCTAGCTGTCCAGCATTGAAGGAACTGAAAATGAATGATTGCGAAATCAATGCTGATAGGATATCATCCCGTTCCCTAAAGCATTTGAGCATCACTTTTTGCCGCTCTGACTCAGATTGCCGGGTCCGTATTTCTGCTCCGGGCCTTGTCTCTCTAAAACTAGAAGGCTTTCATGGTATGACTCCTTTGCTTGAAGACATGGCATTGCTAGAAGCCGCATGTGTTAATCTTGGCAATAGATGCAAAGATGTCTGTTTGAATTATGACTCTGGTGTTTTCTGTGGAGCTAATGATAATACATGTAAGAATTGTGTTCCTATTAGTGACGACGGCAGCAGCAATTGTGTGCTTCTGGGTGGTATCTCAAGTGCTAAACACCTCAAGTTGATGTCTGAAATAGGAAAGGTATGTCACTTGTCTTTTAACTCTTTTGTAGTTAACCCTTTTTTTGTGGTGCACTATCTACGTATTTAGTAAGTTATGTATAACCTCCAGTTGAGTGTTCTTAGATCAGATCTCACATTCTCAGTTAGGATTACTTAATTTGGTTACCTTTTGTATTTCTACCCAGTTCATTTTCGCAAGAGATCTGAAACACTGCCCTGCATTTAGTAAGTTAAAGACATTAGTACTCAGTGAGTATTGGTGTGAGGCTCCTTACTTGGATCCACTAGCATGCATTCTGAAAAACTCGCCAGTTCTAGAGAAGCTCACTCTTCAACTATTTTCTGAGGTATTAAACTTCTAAATGGACAATTGCTGCACTGTTAAAGTTATTATCAGTTATCCATATTTGTTGAATGTTTATGCTTGTCTTAGGGACCAAATCATGAAGTGGAAATGGAAGGAAGCTACTGTTGCATGGAGAGACCGTCTGCAATATCAGAGCACCTTAACATAGTTGAAGTCAAATGTAATGTGGTGGACAAGAGGATTCTCAAAATTTTGAGGTTCCTGTGTGCATTTAACATACGTAAGCTAACTAATGGCACTTTGCATATACTCCGTATTGTGAAATTAGCTTCCATATGTCAGAAAGAAACTAATAGAGCAAGCAGTGAATAAGAAAATCATGGAATATGTAGGAACCGTTTGTAGGGTGCCAAATTGTTTGAGGCAATGCAAAATCTGGACCGCATCTGGTGACTCACAAAAGGGAAAACCAATATAATCCATCTATTGGCAAAGGATATTTCATTTAACCGTGTCACGGCAGAAACAATAAGTGTAACAGAACATGTGGTCTTATTGATTAGTTCTGGTCTTGTGGGCACTGGCACAAATGTCTGAATTGATTGGTTCAGGGTAGTGAAGTATCTTCACATGTTGCTTAGCTCTGAATTGTAACTCAAATGTGTGCAATAAAACAATATTTGACTCGTTGTGTTTTTGAATAGAGGTACTAGTGAATAGCAACTTTTATTGCCTCGATAAATATAAGCAGTTGTTGCACTTATGGGCTAAATTATTCAGCACCAGATTTGCTTGTGATTCATCACTTTGTTCCTAGGAAGTCTTAATAGTATAGGGCAGCCGGGTGCATGTAGCTCCGGCTTGCGCAGGGTCCGGGGAAGGGTCCGACTACTTTGGGTCTATAGTACGCAGCCTTTCCCTACATTTCTGTAAGAGGCTGTTTCCAGGACTTGAACCCGTTACCTCATGGTCACAAGGCAGCAGCTTTACCACTGCGCCAAGGCTCCCCTTCCTAGGGGGTCTTAATAGTCCACATAAGATTTTCTTGAGAAACAAAAGTCTGTACATAAGCATGTCTAGGACTAGTAGTGTATGCCGTAATTTCTTATTTCACAATCCCCTTGCCACGAAATTGCTAATGACATTTTCCGCGTTCCAATTAGGGAGCAGTTTAACTAGATGTTTTAGTGTTAGATTATCAGCTAAGAAATGGCCGTATCAAATATAATCAAAGTTTGTCCCCAAATCCATATTAAGATAAGTTGCACCTGGTAAAGTTAATCTCCATACTTTCTGAACTTTGTTCTGGTATCTTAATTTTCATAGTCAAGTAACTGGGCGTTTTTTACTTCTGCAGATACAACAAAGTACTCTTACATTATCTTTTCATTTCTGTACAGGATTCAATTTCTAGCAAAGGCAAGAAGACTTGGGTTGATGGTTCATATGCCATGGCTTGACTATTCAGAAATGCAAGGTTTAAGCATATATGTCGCGAGAGTGTTTCCATCTTTGTGTCTTTGTGCGCATCATATGTGAGTTCTTTCCGTGTATGGTCTGCATCATAAGCCTATGAACTTTATACCGCCCAGTTGGTTGTGGGGCTTGGTTTCCTATTCCAGTTTTGGTTCATGCTGAATTTATTCAGCTCTTGGACTGGCCAGTGCTATCTTAGCGTTTCTTTTCGGCTTTGGTGCATTAACTTGTTCTGTTATGGGGTGATCCTTTAATTCTATCTCCCTGTTAAGAGCTTTATGTTTGGAGTAGCGAAACATGGCGTGCTCATTTACAGATATTGCAGTTTTCGGCTGGGTGCCATCGATCCGGATGTTTGTTCCATGTTCTGCACACCTAGGCAGAGAAAACTGAAAATGAAATGCAGCAGCTCTGAACATATGTTACCGTGCATTCTGAAATCAAATGGTCCAATTCGGTTGCTGCAACCGTACTGTTTCTCCACACTATTGACGTCGATGTCACGGTCTCAGTTGTCCCCAACGGCAGTATAGACAACAAGCAGACAGTGCGTTGGCCTCTCACAATCAACCGCGGGTGATAGCTACTAGGCTTTGCCTCCTCGTGCCCATATTCCGAATGTTTGCTGCAGTAATAGCAAGCTACATCTAATAAACCTGTGTAGCTCATCTTCAGGAAGATCACACCTGCAACAACTTTTATCAATATGAATCAAGTAATTACCTGCTCGTATACCAATAGGGGGAGCAGTCTCCATGCAAATGTTTGGATTCTAGGGTCCAAAGTCTTTTGAGTTCTCAGACCTGCTTTACAATGTTAGAAACCAGCATAGGAGGAGGTGTGGGCTAGTTGTTGGGAGTGATCTGAAAGTCCTGAAAGCAGGGTATGGCATTTGCCTGTAGGAGTTAGGTCCCAACAGAGGATACCTGACTCTGTCATGCCGAATTATTGGAGTGTTAAAAATTATATAATTAGTAGGCTGAGCAAACAGCGGATTAATGAGAGCATGGTTGCAATTTTTCTGATTATGAAGCCATGAATCTTTCACCATGGCAGGATAAACAAACTGGGATGTTGAATAATCAAATGATTGTACACTTCGGACCACGAAGAGCACCAAGGGGTGCTCCACGCAGATATATTGCCTTGGGTGAGTTCATAAAAGCAATGAATTTTAAGCTTAGGCATAACTTTAAGAAGAGAGGACCAAAAACCTGATTTTGGTACAGAAGAGCTGGTCAACCAAATAGAAGAATTAGGGAAGTATAAGGCCTTAAGGATGCAGTGAAGATGAGACGAAGGGGCTTCAACAATCCTTCAAGTGACATTAAGAGTTAAAGCTTGATTCATTGCAAGTTCCTAATCCCCAGGCACCCCTCTTTCTTTTGAAGTGCGGATGTCTTTCCAAGCTTTGAGACAAAGAGCTTTAGAGGTAGAAATATCTTTGATCCTAGTCCACCAAAAGGTTGTAATGATGGCAGTAAGCTTAGCTATGAACTTCTTGGAAAGCATATTGTTGGCCATGTAATATGTAGGCATAGAGGAAAGCATGTGCTGCACGAAACGTTTTGGGTAGCTACCGCCACAACCCTCGACATTGGTGACAGGATCTATAGGCTACCATCATGACTGTTGGCGGTAGACTTCTGCCACATCAGTGTGGTTAGTGGTCTTGGTCCAAGGGCTACCGCCATTGACTATGGCGGTAGCTTGTCTACCCTATGTCGCTGCATGTGGCGATGGAAAAAAGTCAAATCTTGAAATATATTAGGAACTGGGGTGATTTCTTACTAATATTGTCACTAAAGGTCAAAGCAGTGATTTTGGCCTCACACAAGCCAAACATCCGGAGCACCAAGGCCCTTGTGTCTCTGTGCTGAGCGGAGCCAAAGACCACGCCAAGTATTCGAAGCGCGCCAATGAGCAAAGGCAGCCTGCGCCAAGCGCTGCCATCGAAGATCAGAGCGCCACAAGGTCCAAATGCCGCACTGCCTCCGCAGCCACAACGACTGCCATCGCCGCGAAGCCAGGGCTGCCGCCCACAAGCTGGGCCACCATTTTTTGCCGTTGCCAGTCGAGCAACCCCTCTGTCACCATTTTCTGCATGAGCTTATCTTGGCAGCGTCATTCGGGACAGATAGGAGGTGGAGAAGAGGGGTGGGCCCCCCCGAGCTGCCATGAATGCGATGCATGTTATTCGCAAAAAAAAGAAGGCGATGCACGTGACGTGGGAAAGGAAGACCATGCATTTTAATGGATTTCTTCTGTTTGGTATGTGTGTCCTTGGCGAGGATGTCTTGACAGTGAACACAATGCCACAAAATAAACATACCACGACCCTGTGTCTGTATTGGTATGGAACCTGTGGCCAACTTAACCATGATCGGTGAGCATATGGTGTTTTCGTCCAGGAGATCATTGGCTCTCGGATCTGGTGGATTGATGTATGATGCTTTAGCCTGTTTTTCATGGTGGTGGTATCGACGATGGTATCCGCCGTGTTTTGGTTAGAGATTCTCCCATTTCATCATCTCTATTGTTAAAGGGGGTTGGTGTTTGTACGCTAAACTGTGGTTTTGTCCCCCACTCCGGCTTGGAAACAATGTTCTGCGTTAATTCAATCAAATCTTACAAAAATCATGCGCTGCATGAATTCAATAAAATCTTACTAATAATGCACAATATTAACTCAATAACTTTTTTTTTACCAAAATCATGCCCTGCAGAAACTCAATCAAATTTTACCAGAATCATGCGGTACATTAATTCAATCAAATCAAATAAAATTGTTACCAAAATCTCAACTAAATCAAAACTTTATTTGCCTTACCAACCCATACACAAATCAAATCAAATCTTACCGAAGATGTAACTAAATCAAAACTATTCTCTTGCCTTCCCTACACACACCCAAATCAAAATCAAATATTACCAAAATCTAGAATATGGTAGGTGTAACGTATATATCGGACATGATTGTTGTTGAACCAATAGAATATGTATATCCCCATTACAATGCACGGGCAATTTTTGTATCAGTAGCTAGTTATTAGAGATGATGACTTTAAAGAACTTTGATGTAACTTTTAGTTTATAACAAAAAAATTGTTACTTTTTTTGTTTATTAAATCTAATGTATTTCACTTAGTACTTAATAAATCAGATGTTTGCTAAAAAATAAACTTATTTTTATCGTCGATCGTGAACAAATTTTAGGAAAAATATATAGTCCAAAGACAATCCTCATGCATTGTGGGTTCTAGGGAGAGTGAGGCCAACAAGCCTCCAAATAAGTAATGTATCCCTTTGAGCATTCGTATATGAAATAAAAGTTTGCCTAAAAATGAACTAAAGGTGAGTTGTTTATCACAAAGGAAAAAATCAGCCAAATACACAGTGTTCCACGCCCATGCAACTAGGCAATTTGTTCATAATTCCAAACTAAGCATCTCAAACTCATGGTCCTTTTGGGCTGTTTTTATAATGTGGTGATCTTCTAAACATGTCATCACTTGTATATGAAACAAAAACTTAAAACATTCATGTTGGTCACCCTTATAAAAAAAGGTTCAAATATTCTTGATCATGATTATATATTTGTTTTAATGATATAACTCTTATGCGTCTAAATTCAAAAGATTCGTGCAGAAAAAAAATGTCCATGTATATAATTGTTTTTCATGTTTTTGGAAAAAGAAGGTTGTTGTATGAAAAGTAAAAAAGTATAAAGACTTTGTGATGGGAACAATTTTAGGTAATCCTCAGATAATATTAGAACTAGCTATGAACAAATTCATTTAGAAAGAAGAATAGTTGTGATGAAACAAGAAACGTCTTATGTTCTATTTCGGCCCGTGGAAAATTTTTATTTTGGGTCATTTTTTAGCACTAAGTTGAACAAATATTGCAACCACCTACGGACAATATGTTTCAAAAAATGGCTAAAAATTATAAAATAAAAAATTGAGCGAGAAAGAAATAGGACAAATGAACTAATCAAGAAAGAAAGGAAGAAAGAAAAATATTTGAAAAGTTTGCCGAAGTAAATGAATGTAATGGAGATGGGCTGGCCCATGAGGCGGGGTTTTTCAGTTCCTATATAGCCTTTCTCCTGGAGCCCAACCTCCCTTTGAAGGTGAGGTGAGGCGGGTCCGCCCATCTTCCGATTCTCGTGGCGGCGGCGACATACCGGCGAGGTGAGGGCGAGGCGACTCCGCCGCAACTCATGCATCTGTCCATCTCATCCCATTTTCTCAACCCTCGCGCCGTTTGATCCTTTCTTCCCTCGCAGCGCCGGCGACGCAATGACTCCTAGGAAGAAGCGCATGAGCGCGCCGCCGGTGCCCGTGCCCGTGAGCGCCTCCGACTGCATCGGCGCCCTCCCCGACAGTCTCCTCCAGCACGTGATCTCGTTCCTCCCAGCGCAGGAGTCCGTCCGGACGTGCGTGCTCGCCCGGCGCTGGCGCCACCTTTGGAAGTCCACGAGAGCCCTGCGCATCGTCGGCCTCGACGGCCGGGAGCCCGCCAGCGTCGAGGACCTCCGGGTGTTCGTGGACCACCTGCTGATGCTGCGTGAGCGCACCGACCTAGAAAGTGTCGAGATGAAGTTCCACAGTTGCTCCGAAGGCGAGGTGCCCTATGTGAGCCTATGGACCCGTTTCGCCCTCATGTGCAAAGTTCGGGCGCTCGCCCTTGAAATCTCCCATGCATATTTCTACCCGGACGACCTGCCTCTTGCCTCTCGGTACCTGAAAACATTGGACCTTTATGGTCTAGGCCTGCAGAAGGCATTTCTTGATTTTGCTGGCTGTCCAGTGTTGGAGGGTCTGAAGATGAGTGAGTGTAACATCTCTGTCGATAGGATGTCATCACCTTCCCTGAAGCATTTGAGCATCACTGGCTGCCTCTCCGATTTGCGTTGCCGGCTCCGCATTTCTA